ATTAACAAGCTTCTTAACCCTTAAATTTGTGCATCTCATACTGCTCTGCTTTTAATCAGCTTGTACTTTTCCAGGAATTTGGTCGGAAGTTTGGCGTCTGAAATGACTGCTGTTTGTTAAAGTATGAAGATTCAATGTTTTATCTGTTTTGACTGACGCGCTGGGCTGTGTCTGATCAGAATTAACACGCTTCTTAAATTTGTGCATCTTGTCCTTCCCAGCTTTTAAATAGCTTGCAATTTTCCAGGAATTTGGTCGGACATTTGTGGTCTAAAATGACTGCTGCTGCCAGGAGTCTCAATATTTTATCTGTTTTGACTGACGCGCTGGGCTGTGTCTGATCAGAATTAACAAGCTCTGAAGTTGTGAATCCCGTACTTCTCAGATTTTAATCCTGTCGCAATTATCCCGGAAGTGGCTCTACAGTTCCAAGGATTCTCGTCTATAATGACTGCTGCTAGCGAGAATGAAGTCCCCAAATTTTAGAAGTTTTGACTGATGCACCAGACTGTGTCTGACCAGAATTAACAAGCCTTTTAAATGTGTGCATCATTTAATCACCTTGTAATTTTCTAGGAATTATATCAATAGTTCGTGGAATTCTCGTCTAAAGTTACAATTTTGGCTCATGTCCCAAGTTTTGATATACACTAGACTGTATCTGTGGGTCCACAGACACAGTCTAGTATTACTCTGCATTTTATTAGCTTGTAATTCTCCAGGAAGATTGTCCCAACAGTTCGTGAATTCTCGTCTAAAGTTACCGTTGTTGGCTCATGTCCCAAGTTTTGATATCACTAGACTCTGTCTGCGGGTGGCCAGAATTAACAAGGTTTCTAAATATGTACATCTCGTACTCTTCTGCATCAAATTAGCTCGTAATTTTCCAGGAATTGTCCCAATGGTTCGGGGAATTCTCGTCTAAAGTGACCGTTGCTGGCTCACGTCCCAGTTTCTGTTCTAACTGATACATGATGGAGTGTATGGCTGTGGTGTATGTCTGCGAATGACCGGAATGATTAAGTTGATCTAGTTAGAGACAAGACTCAATCTTGTGATTTGTAAGTCCTAGCGTTTGATGCTAATGTTGTTTCCTTCATTGTGACTAAAAGGTAATATTTGTTAGCAACGCCCTTCCTAATATTTTGCCCAAAGCATCTGCCTTCCAATATATGTACGTCAAAATTACGTCGATACACGCAATTTGCACGTCAATACGTGTAATAGGAACGTATTTCCCTCATCGCCCTTTTCCAACAATATAAAGCTTTATGAAGCAAGTTTACACTGTAATTTACAACACAAGAAATTGACATAGCTTTTCTATTGGAAATCTCAAATTTTTGTAAAGGAATGAACAATCCACCAGTAACAATGTCCATCAATCTTTCGCTATCATACGAAGAAAAAGCCACAATAAAATGTACCTCGTCTTCTCCTTTACCTTAACTACAAAACTTGCAGATTCTTTGCTCTCTTATCGACACCCTTCATGCCAATATATATTCCACCTACTCCTATAGGGCAAAGCAGCCTAGTCACGACAATACTGTAGAAGCTAAGCCACCCTTCGGCCTGGTTACCGACGAGGATTACGGGATTGAACTTCGAAATAACAACTTAGAGTTGGAGCACCTGTGGGCACCGAATAAATCTTCTATACAGATTTATATAAATGTCAACGATGTATATGCCATTAGTTTGTGCCAAGGAAACCGCCAAATATTATCGCAGTCTCGCTGCTTTCCAGGACGAACCCCAGGCAACATTTACTCACTTTTCATGTTGTATCAGCGTCATTCGTTATTGCAAATATTTACCTTATCATATTTAATATAAAGGCACACACGTCAAAAGATGCCCATAAATTTTGACAGACAGGTATTATGCACGAGTGGTTTCCGTTGCTACGGGCTAGTCATCTCGTAGCTAGCAAAGGTTTCTAATGGCACAGAGGGTTTTGAATTCTTAAGATTAATAGAACATCCTTCGGCCTTTCTTAAAGACGAGTCAGAGACTAAAGGAGATTCCACAGGATGTTGAATAAGCAATGGGCAAAGCTGAGACATCTAAGAGACTCAAGTAATAGACCAATACGTCAACGACAGGGATTCAAATATCAAAGGACATTCACCAGCAATGGCAATGCGTACTGTACCTACGATTTTTTTGGGGGGGGGATATTTTCAAAATAATTTTCCCTGTGCGAATTTTGCGCAGAGAGGGCTAGTTTTCTGCTAAGAAGAACAGAAGAATTTATATTTTTAAAATCTGACCAAAAATGTGTGACCTTTGGCATGGTTTACCGGTACCCTGTCATTGACTACTAAACGCCTCCTGGACTGATCCACTGAGACCGGTGAAATCCTGTTGTCATTTCAATATTTTGCCTGTAGCTCTTTAAATGCCGAGTTAACCTTTGACATTTTGTATCCAAAGGCGCCTGACAAATCCAACCTTGCAGTGGGTGTAAAGACTTGAGGTTTGAACTAGCAACAAATGTGTTTTAAAGTTCTTGTTCCTCATGGTTTCCCCATAGGTTGCACTGGAAAGGTCATTGACTGATTCAACCCCTTTTTGTTTAGTGCTATGGACCAGTTGCTATGTTACTGGAAAGGGCAAAAAAAAAACAAACATGTCTATAGATTTATCTCAAGGGAAACAAAAAGTAACATTCAGAGGCAATATTTGGTTTGGTTTTGGTTTAAATGCTTCGTGTTCCATGCACAGGGGGAGAATTTACAAATTTTGAGTCAAAATAAAAGAGGTATGTTATAGGAGAGAAAATGTCCCCCAGACATGTCTATAGAATTTTCTCAAGGCAAACAATTAATGTAACAGCGACGATATTTTCTTTAGATTATTCAGATGATTCGTATTTCATGCACAGGGGGAGAATTTACAAATTTTGAGTCACATAAAAAGAGGTAAGACCCAGTTAATATGTTATAGGAAAGAAAACGTCCCCCAAACATTTCTATAGATTTTTTCTTAATGCAAGCAAAATGTAAAAGCGACAGTATTTTCTTTAGATGATTTAAATGCTTCGTATTCCATGCACAGAGGGGAATTTATAAAATTTTGAGTCACATAAAAAGTGCTGACGCATCAAAGCAGCTCAATTATGATACGTGCATGCCAGTGACGGGTATATCAAAGGATATTTATTAAAGATGTGGCGTCTCCTGTGCTGCATTCTTAATGTTCAATAAATATTTCAGTAAGCGGCCAGTCTCTTTGATGTTACGCGGGGATGGCAATATAACATGATTTTGTATTCATTACAAACGCCGCTGGTCAAATGCTCTCATAATTTTAATAAGGCCATGGCAAGTGATTTATAGGGATAACATCAGCGCACGCGAACTTTTATGCCGTCCGTGAAATCCGTACAGGTTGGTAAGACACTTGAGTAAAGAGGCTCTTTTTAGACAACCAAGTCTTTTATTCAGCCGACGTTTCGGTGACCGTCTGTCACCTTCCTCAGGGCAATTCTTCCTGGCTCACATTTCATTTCAGCACAGATGTCGCTGCTACAGATGCATTTATGCCATGTTTAATTAGAACAACAGATTGAAGACAAATGATATCAAGGAATTAATGTCTTTCGCCCATCATACAATGTAAATCGCAGAGCCCGTTTGGTAAATGATAAAGATTAATATTCACCGCAGACGATGAGTGAAACATCGTATATTTTCACATGGGTAGGATGGAGAGATTTGTAGCAAACGTCAGCCATAATTACAAATATTGATTTTAACGTTCTGATCCAGGAATACCTAAAAATCCAGTTCATTGACCTTACTGTACATCGTTGGTGAAACAGATTAGACACAAATTGCATTTCCTAGAAGGTGTTACTAGTACCTTCGTAGCTGATGAGGTTAGTACAAATTGCAGCTCAAGCTGTTGATTGTCAGAACAGCAAATTCATTCTTGCAAATCCAACCGTAATTCGATATTTAGAAGACGACAAGCCAAATTGCGTCAGCGCCACGAATCTAGATGTACTCGACTGCAAATTTTACAGTAATTTGATATTTTGTGTTAAGATTTTTTGAAATTATTATTACCAAAAAAACAACAAATAAGTGAACAATGCCTCCCTTAGCCACATTATACATTACAACTCAATATCCATATTTTATTGTCATCATCATTATATATTAAGTATTTGTGTTAAGATTTGCTGAATCTGCAGATATAAAAACAGTGAAGTCAGATGCCATGAATATTTAACTGTGTCGAAAGCGATATCTCACACTCAGAAGCTTTGATCATTTTTTTACTACAATATCTACAAGATGACAAGCCAAAATGCGTCAGTGCTGAGAATCTACCGAAGATGTAGTCGACTGTGACGCGTTACAACATAAAAATGTTACTGTGATTAGACCTAAAATTTGATTTTAGAGATATTAAAACAGTAAAATCAGATGCCGTGAATATTTAACTGTGTCGAAAGCAATATCTCACATTCGGACGCTTTGATCATTTTTTGACTACGATATCTGCCGGCAGGCGCCATGATATGACGTCAGCTCTGACGTCACAACTTCAAGAGCCATCCGCGCTCATCCGTTAACAGGGTACGTTTCCATTAGTGCACCCTGTGCCTTCCAGCGTCCTTCCATCCCATTGACAGTCGCCCCTATGTGCCGGGCCTTTCATACATCCGTTACTCCTTTGACACGGACACCCGCATTTACGTCAAGAGCTCATTAGCATAAACATCGTGGGCTGGACAGGTCCATTCTGCCATATCCTTGGGGGTAGTAATATTCTACAAACATTATTTACGCTTCATTTCTCTCCTTGATGGAATAAAAGAGGCATCATACAAATTGAAGGATACGTTAGACATTTTCACATGATGCCACTGATGATATTTTATGCTGAGAAACCATAGGGGAAAAAAGGGACACCCCTGCGTGTAATAGATGGACGCGCCCACTCATCTCCGGTCGGGGTTTCCATTAAGCCTCTTTATTACCCGAGGAGAAGGCCAGGGCGCGTGACTCTCTCCCGCTTTCCCGTCCCAGCCATCGAACCGCCAATCATCCCAATTTTCCAGCAGTCCACCTTTTCTTTCCCCTTAATTTCCGTAAAAAAAAAGTACCAACGCATTTCTGTCGCTAAAATCGACGAGAAGAGAACTAGATGAAGACGTCGGCGATCTGTGTGTGCGTCCTGGCGCTGGCCATATGCTACGTTTTCGGCGTCGCCCGAGCTGCCCCGGTGAACAAAGGTAAGTACGCTCTGATTACGGCCAATACAAACAACATGTTAGACCGCGGTGCGTTTTTATAGCCTCCGTAGCAGGCTTATAGAACTGGGGGTTTGGTGGTCTTCGGCTGTTTTCTGATTAGCCTACGTAGCAGGCTTATAGAACTGGGGGTTTGGTGGTCTTCGGCTGTTTTCTGATTAGCCTCCGTAGCAGGCTTATAGAACTGGGGGGTTGGTGGTCTTGGCTGTTTTTCTATTAGCACAGTTAGCGGGGGTAATTCAACCAGGCCGGCTATGTTGTCTATATGCAATCAGAAAATAGCACAAAAAAGCTTTCAAAGACCCTGAAGACCCCCAATTTTTGGCATGCTATGGAGGCTAGGTGCGTTTCCATACTGGGCGCGCCTTGCCTCCAAGCAGACTCGGTGGGGCAAAGCGACTTTATATTGGCCACCTGTATGAATTAAATGCTCCCTGTATTCATTGTCCACCCTATGTTACACCCCAATTGATACAGGTGGCCAATGTAGAGTCCCCTTGCCCCAAGATTAAGTCAAGCCTTGTCCCCAGCAAATCACTGTGATTGCATGAGGACGCATGTACGCGTTGTACTGATCTACCAACATGTACCCGAAAAAAAAGCTTGCGTTTTCTTCACTTTCCCGTCTTGTTTCTGACAGAAGGATGGTTAAAGAAACATTGCTTGGTCAGAAAACATCACGATCTGTCATTGCAGCAATTGAGGGCAAACGCCTGTTTGCTCCATTCCGCCCGAATACTGGAAATGGGTTAGTACCGTGCCAGTGTACAAGGACCATAAAATTTCAGATTTAGTACCACCGGTGGACATAGACGGAAGCAGAAGAACCATCCATATTTTCCGCTGAAGGATTATGATTGATATCTGTATTTAATATTCTGGACCATTGTTTTCACTAATGTGCCAAAAAATAACCCGTTTGGACCATTCATCGGAATATATACTGAGCGAGTGTTAGTACAGTAAGTGCCAGCACAAGGACCATAAAATTTCAAGAACCATCCATATTTTCCGCTGAAGGATTATGATTGATTCCTGTATTTAATATTCTGGACCATTGTTTCCCCCGTAAAATAACATGCCAAATCATTGAATTCGCACGTTTTCCCCGGTTGAGTTAGCTCCCTGCAAGCGCCTAGGCAATGAAGAACTTTATCATATCCCACGCACGGACTACAGTGCCTTCTTGGAACGTAAATTGTGTCAAAAGGGATCATATGAAGATTATTTACGACAGAAATGCGAAACAAGAGTTTAAGATCACTATTTGTATAGCAGTGAAAAAAGGTTCAATCTATTTCCGCCGCATAAAACCAGTCCTCACATGATGTTTCTCAGTTATCTAATTTTTTGAAGGCATCAAATGCAATTTCAGGGCGGCAAAACTGGAAATATTCTGAACAAGGCAATCTGTATGATATTGACTCATACTTGACCCATAACAGCGCATTTGAATCAGTATTTCATACTTTGGACTGCAGAAACAAGCCCCAAGATGGGTCCTTTATTTTCTGGGTTGTTACCCTAAAAATCTATCCAGGTCCTTCCAGTAACCGCTTTTCGTCAAAATTTTGGCCATTTTCGCTCCATGAATGTCGATATATTGGGACAGTGTTGTTTCAATTTAGTATGTAGATAAGTGGCTGAAAAAAAATCCCGTTTCCAAGCCCTAAAAAACTGCACTGGATGCCTTTAGAAAAGGACCACATCGTCTGCCGTTCATATGTTCCCGACTCAACTGCCCAGTGAAGCAAACGCCATTGGTTCCATCCATTGCGCACCGCGGTTTACCCTGGGTCTTATGAATAGGTGCGGTGAAGTCTTTGATATGGTCATGGTTTGGCTGGTCTGAGCTTGATACCATCAAAACCTGTGATGTATAAGTCTTTATGTTGGTTAAGATCTACTATTTTTATCGCAGATGATACGAAAATGTTGTGTTTTTGGTTTAGGCGTAACGCCCCTCGGAAAGATCACAAAACAACAGTCTCAGGAAAAATCGGTGGCCGAAACACCCACGCCTTTAGGGCCGATTATCATAATTATACATTCTAGTCCCGTGGTAGCATTGTTAGCCACTAGACCTGTGCAGGGACTCTATGCAATATATATTGTTACTGCTATCGAGGTTAAAGGCATCCGGTGCAGTTTTTAGGGCTTGGATTTTTCAAAGCCAATATTCTAGTCACTTATCTACATACTGAGTTGAAACCACACTATCCTAATGTATATCAAACCCGTGGAGCAAAAATTCCCAAAATGCTGACGGCAAATGGTTACTGGAAGGGCCCATGGCTGATTTTTAGGGTACCACCCAGAAAATAGAGGACTAACCTTGGGGCTTGTTTTAAGTATGAAATACTGCTTTAAATGTGGGGCAGTATGTGTTAATATCATACAGGTTGCCTTATTAACAGTATTTCCAGTTTTTACGCCCTGAAATTGCATTGGATGCCTTTAAGAAAAAACAACAAAAAATCATGCGAAAAGCCGAACCATATTTGGTCCGAATCCCGATCGTTTGCTTTTGCGGCTGCGTTTGTCCATTGGCTGGGCCGCGGGTTAGCGGTATCGTCCTCAGCAAGCTACACTGCAGGTGCTCATGAGACTTATTATCATGGGCGGTTTTTTCATTAATACCGGCTTGCTGATTGCTAGCGGGATGTCATCTCTTCCAATATGCGATGCGAAGAAAGAAGGTGTCAATCAGAAGTCAAAGAGCACCGGACATGGAATATCCTATATGTAAGTTAGTTTAGCTGCGTCAATGAAGGTTAGGCATCCAGGTAATAAGATACGCCAAAAAGCAGTTACTTCAGCAATTGGATATAATTTTGGATGGTTGCTTGTCATTTTGAGTAACTGGTTTTTGGCGTATAGTTCAGTTGCGTTTGTCCATTGGCTTGGGTAACGCTGCAACTAATTTTTGAACCTATATTGAGTGGTTTTGTATTTGATATTGGCTTTCTGGTTACTACTGGGATGGACGTGGGATCTCTTACAATAAGAAGAAAAATTGTGTTAATTAATTATAAATAAAAGAGCACCCAGACATCGAGTATCGTAGATATGAAGGATAGATTAGTACCGAATAATTCGAAGACTTGCGGCCAGTCATAAATATAAACTTCACCCTCCGTCACCCTACACGCCGCACGATTTATACTGGTCCCGTGATGATGTCTACATCTTTTATTCATAGTCACTTCCAGTCATGATGCCAGTCTTCATATCCTATACGTTACGATAAGAAAATCCACCCAGTCCTGAGGGTAAAGAGACGTCGACACAATCTTCTCCGTTCAGGACCGCTATGTGCATTGTAGATAATGGCAGGGAATAGTAAAGGTGGACATCTACTCCTGCTGGCCCTGTAGGATTGGCTTAAACGACAGGAAGCAATTTCATCTCTCTCTATCTCTATATATATACTAAAGTATACCACCTTATCTTGAAAGTTCATCTGTGTTGGTGGAAGTCATTACGACGCAAGTTTGAACTGTAATGTCCAACACAAGAAATGTGACTTCCCCAAATTTTCAAGAAAAAAACACCCCTTCTGTGCCGTCACGTTATGTAAATGACTCACGTGGCTCAGTTGGTCGTTGGTTGCAGAAAGTCTGTGGCGTCCCCCGTCTTCCATCCGTGAATAGTTTCATCAGGATGGTAAGACACTGAGTAAAGAGACTCTTTTTACACAACAAAGTCTTTTATTCAGCCGACGTTTCGGTGACCGTCTGTCACCTTCCTCAGTGCAATTCTGACAGGTTCACATTGCACTGTAGCACAGGTGTCACTGCTATAGATGCATTCCTAAATGTAAAATATATACATGTCCCCCGTCTTTGTTGAGAAATGGGTGCAACGCCCTGATGTAGATAGTCTGTCTGATACCTCGTGCAAAGGCATAATGCCACCGTTTGGCATCAAAGTCAGCTAGCATCGCATTTAAGCACGGGTGGCTGGTTATATAACACCGATTTGAAACAAGCTGCCACACTGTATCCCTTGGTATCTAAATGTAGCGTTGATTGGCACAGTGTACGAAATAGGCTTTTACCATACTTAATGATAAGAGCGTCTAGGATTATGTGAGCTGTAATTGTCAGGGGTTTCGCGTTATCAGTATGTTTATCTATGTTAGTCAGCCGATGATGCCAGCCTTAGGCGTAACCTGCCATCTCCCTTGGCACAGGGCCGTGAATAGTTATGTAACACTGGAGGGCTCGTAACGCCAACGCATGTCTTCATATCTGACCGTTTCTGAATGCTGTCTAAAGCTTGGAATAAATTCTGACCGTTTCTGAATGCTGTCTAAAGCTTGGAATAAATTAAGAAGAAAATGTCCATGCATGTTTCGGGGGATAGTCCTTACAGGGAGCTTTTTACGTTTGAAAGTGTGTAAACGTTAAACAAATATGATATAGTGGCCCTAAGCAGAAATGTTCATGCAAAAACGTTTTGGGCGATTTTGTGAAGAGGCAGCTATTGAAGATTAAAAGTGTTTTTTTTTCGACGAATGTGAATATGATATAGTGGTTTCAGAGAACAGAGAACCCTTATTTACCAATGATTATGATAATTATATAGCCACATGGGAAAATGCGATCATAAGTATCTTTCCTGCAACTATTCTTTTGCAACAAAAAAGACCTGAAACACAAAAATGCCATTTTTGTAAAGCCAAACGAATTGTGATCAACATTTTCAGTCATCGTAATGGACAAAACTGATGTGCAAAAGTCCATAAACCAAGAAATATCAGGCTAAAGTTATCATCTAAAAGAATATTTCAGGACATAACATATTTGTATGATCGTACTCTGAATCAATAAGATCTAAAATACCTCCCCTTTATGTTTGCGGCATGGACAAATGGATGTAACCCACAACCACTTACTATAACCAAGCTTTTGAAAACGGTATTTTGTAGAACAAGTGATTGATGTCTTTACATGAATGGGGAAGGTTGTTGAGGGCCG